AGAGAGAGAGAGAGAGAGAGACTCTCAATCTTATAAAAGAAAGGGTGCAAATTGGGCATTTGCTTATGGCTTTCTCACAAAAAAAGCTAGAACGGATTACACATAAAAACTTTGGAGGTTGTTTGCTGGTTCTACATACCGGTAACTGTTTTAAAAGTAGATATTTCGATATTTGCGAATACGTTAAGCACAATGTCAGGGAGAACTTGATTTGTTTCAAGGAAACAGAACTCCCTCAATGAGGAAACTATGTAATTTTTAGAAATGAAGGAACATCCGAAACACAATTGCAAAGAAAACTGGAAAATATTTTCACGAAAACAAAGCTTTCTCTACGAGGAAGCAATATTAACTTTGTTTTCAATATTAAAATTATATAAAGATAAATATACATCTAAATGTATACATAAAAGGATTGTTAAAATGTAAAATCATTTGCCGCTTCTAGCATTAAAGATATATAATTTTATCGAGATATTAATCCATTTATGTCGCCGATCGAGGCGCTTCGTCTGTGTCGGCGCGCCCGCTTCCACGTCACGTCGTCGTGCGAGATTTGAATGACTTTTCGCCGTGAGAGATTGCGAGCTACGAAACGCGTTTTCAAGAGATCGAAGCTCGACTCAGCCGGCATACCTAGTTCCTTAACAGAATATAACAGTTGGCAACTAGGACTTTCGTCTGAACGAAAGCGCGCGCGCGCACAACGACACTACTGACGCACGTACTAATTCACCTCCACGTCGGCTTCCTCGATGAGCTTTCTCATATACGTGTTCCGACCTCGATCGTCTCAATTCGCTATTTGTATTGACTTGCACGGGCAAGTGAAAAGTTTCGCGAGCAAAATTATACGCAATAGTAAATAAAATGTTGAAGAATATTTTTGGATAACCGCAAATTTTCTTCATCTCTTTTACTATTTAACAATTGAATAAGAAAACAATGAGATTTTACTTAATATAGCCTTAGACGAAATTATTAGATACCCTTATAATTATTGCGCGGTACTGATCCAGGGAGATTTCTACGTTTAAAAAGTTATTCAGTAAAGCGTTCATTGCTTCTATACAGTAAACAACTTTCAAGCAACAATCATCTTTCCTTTCCTTCAACTATTACGTGGGTGACTATGGCACTATTTCGTTAATTAATTCGCTTGCAAGCGCGACACTGGAACGTGATATCTAGAAACACACATGTCGCCGCAGTTTCCGCGCGATTTACTATACATAGCGAACAAATCGGCGTGATAGATAAAAAAGATAATTTCACGGAATCTCCTGGATGGTTCGCAGGAGGAGAGATCCGAGAATCGAACCGTCAGCACGGTGGAGTTCGAGCCGGGTGTGGAGGATCATGGGAAATCTATCACCTGCCGAGCAGAGAATCCAAACGTGACCGGACTCTTCGTCGAGAAGTCCTGGAAGATCGACGTCGTATGTGAGTACACATTACATTTTTCCTTAACGTTCCAATTTCTCGCGGAACCGTAAACTCGCTCACGACCGACAGATCGCGAAACTGATCGCGGTAAATCGAATACGACACCGTGACGAATGGTACTTTGGAGCGTTTGTCGATCTCTCTCTTTTTTTCTCTCCTTCGCCCTTTCGACTCGTGCCATTGTCGTATATCGCGCCCATGTGTCATAAAAGAAGGAAAATGAAGAAATTGCCCGACAGCCATCCTCGATCTCATCTTCATTCGGGTCCCGAATCGGCCGATTTTATGAGCCTCTTCATCCCCGCGCGCCAAAACGCGAGACCTTTTCCAACCCTCGAATTCACGTATCATTTACTTTTCGCGTCCCATATATCTCGCCGCTCCCCTCCCTTTTACAACTCGCAATAAAAAGACCCTCGCGAGATTTTTTTTATAAATTGCCGTCAAAATTCGGCGATGCCGATCGACCGCGTCGCGGTCTCTCGATCCCGATTGTCAAATTGATTAATATAAACCTAGTCCATTATCCCGTTACGTTTTATGTTCCCCATAACTTCATCGACAACCAAGTAGCGTTTCCATTTCCATTAGACCCTTCCACCCTTCCTCCCATTATTCAATGCAATCTGTGTTGCTTTTATACGCAACAAGAAATCTTTACAGATACCGCAAGATTTCGATATCCTTAGGTTCTTAGATCCGCGACTCTTTAAATCTTAAAAGTATTAAAACGCGTCTTTCATTCCGAGCGATAATTACGTTGAAAGACGTCGCTTTTTTTCCAGCGTCGAACAGTCCCGTCTTGTTTCTGCGTTCTCTCTCTCTTCCCCCCCTCACGCTGTTGCTCTCCTCTTTCTCTCGCTCTCCCTAGCTTGCTTTCGCTCTCCCCTATTTCTATATCTCTTTTTCCCCTCCCTTTCTCTATCTATCTCATTTATCGCAAGTGATTATAAGCGCGATGAATATTATATGTACGTCGCGAGAACGTAACACGTCCAGTTTGTCGGGTATCCGTGAAATTTAACACGTAACTACGCTCATCCGGCCTCGTAAACTTTATGTTCGACTTGTCGAGAGTTACGGCACGCTTCCCGGTGCATATTAAAACGATGGGTGACAACACACAGCCGCCAGAGGGTTGCGGGAGAAGGGTAGACGGATATCTCGTTCCAGCGGCCGTCCGTTCTCCAAATGAGTATCGCGGTCGCGGCTATCGCTCTGGAAATCTTCAGCGCGAATGTCCACGTCTTTTATATTCGACGACGCCGGAAAATGATGATCGCGTTAGACGGTCGCTGGCAAATTCTACCTCGCGGCCCCATTTTCCCGCGAGATTATTGTACGGCGCCGTGTAAAATTCCTCGCACTTGGCGCAATATGACGCTCGGACAATGATTATAAATTTCGTACCAGTAGTAAAAGCTGCGTCAGAAAGAATAATAATGGCGGCTTTTATTGCCGCGCTGTCGCGTGGGCGTAAAAGCAGATCTCACACACGCGAGTGTGGAAGCTCGAGGGGGGGTCCTTTAAGTTCCGCGGACAAACCACCCGCGCTGATGCTCGCGATAAAACGGTTTAAGGCGCCGCGCCGATCGTCGGCGACTCGTAATCCCGAAAGTTTTCCCGTGCAAGCGTTATCCGTGTCGGTGTCTCTAATCCATCGCCAGCGAAATCTCTCGCGGCATATCCAATGTTACCGTCAGTACGTAATGGCGTTCTAATGAAACCACGACTAAAGACCCTGTAATCAGAGACTGGCCCACAAGAGTTTGTCAAATTCCTTCTACGATCGTGACGTTCGTAGAAGATCGTAACTTACTTAAGATCGAATGTCGACGATTAATTTCCTCGAGTCTTATTTCGGAGGCACGATTAGATTATTCCTTGCACGGGTGTACGATCGTAACGATGTTTCTCATACACTCGCGGGAATTTGACTCTTATGGCCAGTCTCTGATTACGGGGTCTCTAACCACGACGATCGATTTATCGTGAAAATGATCGAGGGGAACACCCGTGCAATGAATAATCTAATTGTGCCTCCGAAATAAGACTCGAGGAAATTAATCGTCAACATTCGATCTGCAAGTCTCCCCGGTCGAATCTAATTAATCTAAGTTTCATCTTCTCCGTTTCTTGACATTTTTTTTTCGAGCTCCTCGAAAAGTGGGTTAGCAGTGCCGGTGCGATAAATCGAGCGCTCTTTAAAGGAACGGTTAGGAGCGTCGCGACGTAAATTTATATCCACGAACGTCGACGCCGGGGTAATCCTTGATAGAATAGAGACCGCTCTTACGACGTTGCGCGGCGCCGTATATCACCCGTACGTTCATTTTAATTGTATAATACAGTAGATACGTATACAAATAGCGGGAGAGAAAGCGGCAACGCGGGTGGAAGACACGCGTGCCGCCCCAGATATTTTTTTCAATTTTGCGGAGGGGCCGCGCGTTACTTCGGCGGCGATAAATTTTTCGATTCCGCGCGGTTTATCGTTCGTTCTCATCTGTCCGGTTGCGTCCGTTGCACCTGCACGTCGGGCAGAAATATAGCGACCGGGAAATACATAAGGAGCACGGGCGAGTATTCGTGTAACGGGAAAAACTGCAGAATACGGGAAATGGTGTCATGTCACGTATTCGATTACGGTGACCGTTTCTACGGAGCCCGGACTCGGAATTACACCATCTCAGAGGGAGGACGGTCCGGCCTGCGGCGCGGTCGATCCCTCGCCGTCACTGTCGCTTCCGACGGATAGCGCCGAGGGAAGATTGAACTTCCGGTAATTCCTCCCGGCCTCTTTCTGATATTAACGAGTACTTCAAGCCGTAGCTTGTAAAACAAAACGGTAAATCCGCAGCTGGGTTCGGGGGGACCATAGACCGAGCATGAAGCCTGAAATCTTAAGTAGAAAGACTGACAATGGATACCTTTCTCTTTCTAACGAGAAGAAAGTGGGAGAGTGTAAAAAAGAGCGGGGAGAGATAATTTGTATGTACAGTGATGGACAGAATGGTTGCGACACTTCGTCTTACAATTAGTGAGTTTAGGAACGTGCATTTAGATTCAGGGTTACGTTCCAAAGTCTTCTTCTCCGAGGAATATTTTACTCGACCGCCATTCCGAAACTATTTTAAGCGTTTCCGATTCTCAAGTAAAATTTTCCTCGGAGAAAATGTTTCGGAACTGTTAAATCTTATCTTACACCGATTTATTTTACTCATGTAATTAGTTCGAATATACTGAGTGTTAAAAAAGTCTAATAACTTCTTCAATATTTAGCTTATAATATCTCGATAACTGTTTGTCTGAGGAAAAAGTAGTACAGGACTTTCTAACTTGATTTGGTCTCAGAAATATGCTTTTTACTAGTAATTATATATAGTTTACATTTTACTAGTAAAATGTATGGTAAAATTTCAAAAACTCATAAAGTTCTTCAAAATGCCATGTTGTCCCACGATTACGTGATTTTCATGGAAAATTTTAAGAGAAAATTCTCGCCCCCCGTGCAGAGTAACGGTAGGAAAGAGACAAAGAACGAATTAACTAAGCTTAAAGTTAAGCGACGTTGGTGAAACCGGGCCTTAAAAGAGAATACGACACACTATCTATTGTCTATTCTTTTCTACCTGATCTTCATTGCCTACAAGAGAATACGCTCGGTCTATTCTCATACTATGTCTATGGGAGAGATTGACGGTATTATTAGGGGTTGGGGAGGGAGTAAACCGACGCGATCGGACTAATTAATACTATCTCGCGGAAGAGCACATGGTCTCGGGAAGAAGACGAATTGACCTTTCCTTAGAGGACTAGGGTAATCCGTTGCGAAAAGGTTCGACGGGCAAATATCCGCGGAGGTAAACTTACGGAGGAGAATCGGGAGGGAGGGGATTCGCTATGATTAAACTAATGTGCACAATAAATGCCAGATACGACGAGCAAATAAAGACTTGATTGCTGGCGGCTATCCGTGGGGTCGCGGGGGAACATCTACGAGCGCGAGATATTATTGAGAGCCTCGCGCGAGCGGGAGAAATATCGGAGCTAATGGTGGGAGAGGCTGAAGATTATGCCTCGCGGACGTGGCTCCGCTGGCAGAAATCGAGATATGTGTGCGCACTCGGGTCCGGTAATGAAAACAGCGATTTACGATACTTTTATCGCTTATATCATATTTACAGCATTAGATATATATTTCACGACGAAATATCCGAATGAGCGAAGCGTATCGCGCGGCATTAGAGTCTGTCCCTTTATCCGTTTTCATCTTCTCTTTCGTGCCGATGTCGATGCCATTTTTAACTTAATTTTATGAACTTAATTAAAAACAACAATAATTTTGAAATAATCCAAGGATTGTCCTAATGAAATAATTGAAAAGGGGGAGACTGACGTAGCGACCCTGAAATATTTTCTGTACAACAATGCATATAGCAGAAAGAGGTTTCAACCAAAGATTATATACAATCGTGTAACATCATGTAATCGTGGGACAACGTGGCGTTTCGAAGAAATTTATGAGTTTTCGAAATTTTACCATACATTTTACTAGCAGAATGTCTGGTAAAATTTGAAATAACTCTCATAAGGCCTGTGTCCACGATGCTAGAACTTGGTCCCAGTCAACTTGCAGCTGTTCCAAAAAAGCTGAAAAGATTGGCTACACATTTCTCGAAACTAGAACTTGGACCAAGTTCTGGCATCGTGAACACAGGTCTTCAAAATGCCGTTGTTCCACGATTAGATAATTTTCCGAGTAAATTTTAAGTGAAAATTCTCCCCGCGTACTAATGAAATAACTGAAGAGGGAGAGACTGACGTAGCGAAATATGCAATCCTGAAATATTCTGTGCCAATGTGTACGACATAAAAGGGTTTTAACATTTTGCTGTTGCAGATCCGCCGATAGTATCGTTAAACCTCGGATCGACCTTAAGCCCAGAGGACATTAAAGAAGGGGATGACGTGTACTTTGAGTGCCACATTAGAGCCAATCCTCCCTGGTCCAAGCTCGTCTGGATACACGACGTAAGAATTCTTAAATATATCCCCGCGTTTTTTTTTTTATGATATTGCGGTGGCTCCGAAAATACGACGGCGCGTAAATTTTACGCGGTAGAGGAAGACTTTTACGGTGGGTTTCGTCGATGCGCGCGTGACACTCTCGTCCCCACTTCCTAACATCGAACACAGAGTAGAACTTTAAAGTCTTTATTTGCATAATATATGAGCTACCGCGTAACGATATCGACAGGCGAGGAGACGTCCCCGTCGTGACGTTACGTCGATACAGATTTTCGTTACGAGACGCCCGTCGTGAATTTTATCATCCGTGTTTTCACATCCGCTACGAACAAATGCAATATAAACAATTTTACAAATGACAGGTCAACACCTCGATTTTATATTCTTGTTGTGGCATCGATTATTTAACCTTAACCGACGTTTTCGATGCGACGACAGTTGCCAATTCCTCCGGCAGTTATAAACGTGCACGTTTTGCAAACGGAGTTATACAATTTTAAATGGCGTCACTGCTGAAGCCGCGTCGAGGAGCTATATCGAGTCAGATTGAATGCCGTGCATGATTTATCTCGCACTCGTGACGTCGTCTCGCGTCTCGGGGAATAAAAGGCGCGCAACGAGCATAAAACGGGTATCAAAGCTTAACCAACGTTAGTCGGTCCCAGCTCATACGAGAGATAGTTGCCTCGGGAGACTGCCTGCCTGCTTATTCTAGGCAGCGCTACTTGAATTTCGAAACGCAGCCTCCGCCGTTGCGCATTGTGTGTACACCTACCGGCGCGGCAATTGCAGCGGAGACGGAAGTTAAAGGAACGCTCCCAAGGCGTGCTCGGGACTATCAGCGACAAACTTTGCCCTGCGTATCGGTGGCAGCCGCGGTAGCGCAACCTCCTGAATTCTAATCGTCCCGATCACCGACCGTGCACGTGGCACGCGATTCTAATGTCGTATTGCCGCGCGTTAATTTTTACCGTCCCTCGACGATCCCCGCTAGTCTGCACTGACGACGAGAGCGACGAGGGCGAAATGTAACTTCGTTGCACCTTAATGAAGCTTGGTGTATGTACCTGCGGATGTAGTTTAAATTGCGAAATAATAGTAAAGTCAAGCTCGTAATTGGCGATACATGGTGAAAGGGACAATAATGGAGCTGAAGTACAGGTTTAGACAATATAATTCGATTTACTCATGTTTGTAATAATTTACGGAACGTTTCGAGCTTCACTGAGCTCCCATCAGCCGAGATAATGACATTGATAATGTTAAATGCATGAACTGACCCACGAGAATCAGCCGTGATAGAGGGATGGTTTTTACATTTGACATACAGATTTTACAACTTCGGTGTTTCTATTGACCACATCTCGCACTCGTGACGTCGGCATTTCGGATGGCATTTTTAATAATGCAGAAAATTTTCTGCGAAAAATATTACCTCAGCCAGGGTTTGAACCTGGACAATCCCTACTCTCTAGGCGGGCGTCTTTCCAATTCAACCACCGAGGCATGTACGGATTTTTACTTAAACGACATATAGAAAACGGCTAATGCGGGTCTACGGCAAGATGTAGGTAGCCTATACTTGTAATTTATTAAAATGTGAATTCATCGATTCGGATTTTTATTTCTTGACAACTTTGCCTTACGATTTTACTCGCTCTTGTCACAAGATGATGAAGACCCGAGGGAAGGGTCGCGCGCGAAATTTGTTATTTATATTAAAGGGGATTTTCCCACGTTTAAATTTTGAGAACCGAGTTCCGTTCATTCATTGACTTGCATTCTCCTCTTACCGCTTATATTTCGAGTGAGAAGAACTAAATAGCGAACTTCCATCATGAAATCGCGCGATTACAAATGGCTGCGCCTTAATTCCTCGATAACGCCTTCCGTAATTCTTTCTGGACGGGCAAGAACACTTCGAACGCAAACTTTATGAGACTTATATTCGTTGACAACAAAAATAGAAGTTTGATAAAATTCAATTTGCAGATGCAGTTCAAGTTACGGGACGACACGATTATAAATGATCGCGCGTTACTTTTATCGGGCTTATCCGATAACTCCGTCGTGCGTAATATAATACGGTAGGAAGGCGGCCTGACAGACGCCTTTCAATCGCTCAAATAATGCCATAAACTTTTACGACTAATAACTAATCTTATTACGCGCACAGTCGATGTATCCCCGAAACATAACACGTCGTACTTAAAACTACCGCAATATCTCACAATCTTCTCGCTCATTTCGAGGCATTCGACAGGGTTTTTAACGAACGTTTCTCAAAGCTTATAAGTTCATAATTTTGTTTACAAGCTCAAATGGGAGGATCCGCCGCGTTCGCGAGCTTTCAAAGCGCCGCGCCCGCCGCCCCCCGTTCAACCCCCCCTCGGATCTTAATGCATTAATCCAACGGCCATAACACCTGGCGGAAGATTGCGGTGCACACGTATACACGCCATAATTATATTACCATCGGCTACGCTAGCCAGGAATCCCGCAGGAGCGCGCGGCGCGGTGCATTAGCTTTCCTCCGGTCTTTTCCGGGATCAGCCCGGGGCCTCATATCCCTCCCGTGTTCCGTCGTTCACTTTAACCCGGCTCATCCTCCGCCGCCCTCCCGCACGGCCCTCTTTTCGTTTCGTCGCACGGCGATCTTTCGCCGGATATACGTCGCGAAGGGCTGCAGGAAACGGGCTAACGGTGGGCGGCGAGCAGCTGCTACCGCGTAAGAGATTTCCCTCGAAATTGCATCTTAAAAATATGATCCGACTTCATTCCGGAGGGAGAGCGCCCGACTATCGCGCCGACTATGTCACCTCCTCCTCCTCCACCTCCTCCTCCTTCTCCCCCTCCCCCGCTTCCCGCCCTCTTTCTTACCTTCCACCCGCGTTCTTCACCCGCGACTCCTACCTCTCGCTCGCGGGGCTCGTTCTCCAGTCGCGCGATCCGCTCCTCACCCGCCAGCCGAACTCCTCCTAGTCTTTGTACGTGCCTTCCAACGACGGATGGATTATCCAACCGCGCCCGATTCGCGCCATTATCGTAAAACTGGTTCTTAAAACTATCCGCGATCGCCCGCACACACACACACACACACACACACACACACACACGTACATACTCGGACTTCCCGGTGATTATTGAACTCCCAGACATAACGGAGGTCGGGTGCGATGAGCGCTTTTCTTTCAGAAGAAAAGTAATACGTTCAAGTAAAGATGAGCGCCGAAGACGATTTCTTGGCTTAATACTCTCGTTCAAGCGTACATCTCCTGAAACGATTTTTGAAACAGCGCCGACGTCCGTTTAGTTTACTCAGCTTCAAGACACTGATCGTTTTCGTCGCGATTAATATGCGCGCATTAAAAGCCGCGTCGACACGGGGGGGGGGGGGGGAGAGAAACGATTGATTTCCACATCGCTTTACTTTCGCGTTGGTTATTTCTCGAGTCTTGGACGCGATTGCCCTTAGATCTCGTTGGGGTGGATCTTCACGTCCGCGCTTGGAACGCCAGAAATGTTTCATTCATACGGCGTGGCCGATCCCTTTCGCCCATCCAGAAAAGTTTGCCTAGGAATTATAAGGGCCGTTAGCACGTTCTACCTGCCAATCAATCCCAGGCCAGCAATCGGCCCGGGATCCGGCGCCAGCGGGGTCTTAGAAAAGCGTTTCGGGCAGCAGTAACCTTTTGAGTGGCAATCGTAAAGAGGGCGAAAGAATCATGAACGGTCGGTGGGCGGAATGGGGGGGGGGGGGAGGAGGAAGGAAACGACGCACGAGCGAGAGGGGATTGAATGGGACCGGAAGGTGAAAGAGAAACGGAAATAACAGGGGCCGGGAGGGGAGGGAGAGAATAAGGCGAAAAGAAGGGAGAAATCGAGAAGGCGAAGAAAGAAATGCGGGGTGGCCGACATAATGGAGTGCAGTGATTAAGTCGGTTCTATCATTCACGGGGACAATAGGGAAGTTCTGTACCTACCTGCGGCATTGACGAGCCAATCGGCCGGCCGGTTTAGACGAGGAGAGAGCCTGAAAGGATTCTCTCAACTCTTCATCTTTTCTCGCAAAGTGGATTGACCGGAGCGCACTGCCGGAAGGGTCCCATTAATACCGTTGTCCTCCTGGACACGCGGAAAGATCGAGAATTTATCTCGAGCTCCCCGTCAAGTCCCTCCGCCCCCCATTAAGAGACAGTTTGAATCCATTCTGTACAGGAGGTACGAGAATTGCGAATACGTCGCGCTGCTTCTTCCACGGGAGACCCTCCGTCAGGGTTGAAACGCGCTAACGTGCTCCGGTTTCGTCGAGTTGATAAAAAAAAAAGAAAAAGAGGAAAAACGCTTCCACTTCCTGAATCGCGGCGAATGGATTTCGCCTCCCGGCCCGAGGCCGGGCGATATCGATCAAACTTGAAATTCCGCGTCGCCTCGCCGCCCTGTTTGATGCGCTCGTATCGGCGTCGTGGCTTTTGTACATAGCATCGATTGGATTGCGCGGCGCGCCAAGGATAACGGCTTCCGCGCTGCGAATCCACCGAGTGCATTTCCCTCTCACGCGAGATTCGGCCCGACAAGTTCGGATCTTAATGCGGCGCGGGGGGAGGGGAGGGAAGGGGGTGCGAGAGCGCGGAGGAGTCGAAAAGCGCGGTGGCGCGTGTGCGTGCGTGTACGTGAGTTCCCGAGGAGGCGAATGTCGAGAATTTCGGCGGGCCGTACATCAATCAATTTCACTACCATCGCGATCAAGGCGTGCCGGGGGTTCCCGCTAAGGGCGGACTCCCCGGGACTACGGCGGGCGTTTGCGGGCGCGGATTCGTTTGGCGCGATTTCGATCTCGCGATTTTTCGTTAAGAGATAAGACGCGGCGGCGGGGAATCGCGCGGCGATAGCGCAGTCACCTACAGAGTCTTCGCCTGGCACACTCCTAAAAAGAGCCCCCCGATGGTCGGGCAACTTTCGAACAGCTGTTCGGAACTACTCCCGCGCCGTATCCCCGACAT